AGGAAGGACATAGAAAGAAGGAAAAAGAATGACAGTGAGAGCACATGCTTCCTATTTATGAATTCAGATTCTCCAACTTTCCTACTTTGTTAAGTACAGTCGGTTTGTTTTTGTTCTTTTGTCTACTGATCGGTTTGGTTTCTTTTCTCACATATTGTCCACTGTCTCTCCAATCAGGGGAGTCCACCTCAAAGACCTCATCTCCCTGCACACGGCATTGCCTGACCGGGTAGATGGGAACCTGCTCAACTTCCGTAAGATGGCGCAGTTAGCCGTCATCCTGCGTGAACTGACGAGGCTCCAAGGGCAGGACAATATCCCCGTGGATGCCAATATGGATCTCGTTAACACACTCAGGGTATTGATCATACACTGTTTGGGAAGACTTTTGGCTATTTGATAGATTTGGATGCTTTTTCTTTTTTTTTTTTTACTTCCTCAAGCGCCAGATTCGAAACAGACATCCATGACCCCTGTTCCCCACATTTTTCTGTACAGATGCTCTTTGAAAACCTATGTTATTCTGGGTTTTTTTTCTAAACTAACCTTAGCAAGTTGTTCTTAATCTACCTCTGCTGCTTTTGTCTTCTATTTTTCTAGCAAGAAGCTAATGATTATGGGTACTCTTATAATTTTGTGAGTTTCCCGAAGGAGAAAGTATAAAAGTAAAGTGTGCAACCCCCCCCCCTTCCAAATCTCTTCACATATAACAACAATCTATTTCACAGACCCATAGGACATAGCTCAAATTCCACTATGGCCCTCTCAGTGACCCCTGATTTTGCACTATTGGTTAGGAGAATGCTAAATCCCACTTCACTGCTTATTGGTCGAAAGGGATGTAACAATGTACTGACTGTTACATTTTGTAAATACTGTAAAATTATTTTGCACTTTTGACCCTTCGTTCGTGTACGTTTGGTCCTGGGATGTTATTAAATTATTGTATGCCGCTGAAGTAAGCACAAGAACGCATAGTAAGCCCATGTTGCACTCTGTAAAAAGGTAGCGCGAGCAGGCAGACAAAAATAATATTCTTCCCAGTGTCTTGTGTGAACATAGAGAGCACAGTGGGCTTAACTCTTTATTCAGGATGCAGCAGACACATGAGTCAGATCAACAACAGACCAAAAGCAAAGTTGCGAAACATTAGAACCATACACAAATCAGATAAATTTTTGCACATTTCACCGTATGCATGTTGTTGCTTGCCATTTTAAGCTTCAGGTAAAGTAAACAACGTTGAAAAAAATCTGCATGAATAATGAAGCTACGCTTCTTTTTTTTTAAGCGACTCAAAACAGCTAATCTTAACACTTCCCAAAATGCGGGTCCTCAAACAGCTAAAATTCTTTTGCTTGAAAGAATACAGACTCTTGATTTTAAACTTAATGATGTTGTGGTTAGGGATTTTATTATTCTATACATTTTTGAAGAACAGATTGACTGGTCTAGTGTTTATGTTCCATGCCACAGTCAATCACAACAAAAGTTTCTGTGGGTGGTTGGCGGGTGCTCTGGTGTGGTTTGGTCCTTCTTTCCTATCAAACATCTTTCGTCCTTATCTCCCCTTTTTCTTTTGTATGTTTGTTACTCTCTTGTAACACCTCTAATCTTCTGGCACTCATATGACCTTATGCAGTTGGGAGCGCCGTAAAACCTCTACTAAAACTAAAACAAAAGTTTCTGGAGTAGGAAAACTATTACTCCCTCTCTCCACAGCTCTCTCTGGATCTCTACCACACAGAAGATGAGATCTATGAACTGTCTCTGGCCAGAGAACCAAGAGGTTCCCTCTCCTCTGTGAGTTAGATTTGTTGTTAAGTCTTAACGTACCGCGTATTGTTGCGGAGGAAATTGTTGTTGTCATTGTTGTTGTTGTTATTGTCATTTTTGAAGCTGTTATTGTTGTTGTTGTCATAGTCATTGTTGTTGTCAGTGTTGTTGTTGTCATTGTTTTGTCTTTTTCGTCAACATTGTTGTTGTTATCAATTATCATTTTTGTTGATGTTGTTATCGCGGTCATTTTCATTTTTGTAGTTGTTTTAGTAATTATTTATTGTGTTTTATGTTATTGTTGTCTTTGTTATTGTTGTTGTTGTTGTTTTGTCACCATTCCAGCAGCTCTTTTGTTTTCACCCTTCTAACCATTGTCCTGTGATGTTGTTCCTGTGTGTCATGAAGCAGGTGTTTGGAAGGTGTATACCTCTTTTCTTTCCATCTGAGTTTTTGTGTCAGTCAGTCTTGATTTTCTCTTACTCTAAATGACCATTAGTGTTTTGATTTGCTTTTCTTTTCCCAATTTTTACTCAAACTTGAAAATAAAAGTAAAATTGTAAATATGTGGAAGTTTTTCTTTTTTGTTACCAGCTTAGTGTTATCTGTTGAGTTTTCGGTATTTTGTATAATGTTGTATTACAATGTTTTGTGCAACTTTTTAGTGATATTTTACAAAATTTAGGTGAGCAGTTTGTTTGTTGTAATTGCTCCTTTACTGTCAACGTCAACCCCCCACTCCCCGTCCTCTGACTTTGACTTAAGTTTTGTTGTTCACGTTTTCCTCAGCCGACCACACCCACAAAACCAGTTGTCTTCGCAGACTGGCTCTCAGGTATCAGCCCTCCAGACCCCAACACGATAAACAAACATGTGCATGACATGGTGGAGGTAGGTGCTGTTAGCTCGTAAGGGTGGGTGTTTGGCGGGTTCTCTGGTGTGGTTTGCGTCTTCTTTCCTATCAAACATCTATCGTCTTTATCTCCCCTATTTCTTTTTTGTGTTTGTTACTCTCTTGTAACACCTGTAATCTTTGGCACTTATATGATCTTATTGTGTTGCAAGTGCCGTGAAACACTTACTAAAACTAAACTAAAAGCTCGTAACATTTCTCCGCATTCTCTCTCGTCTTCTCTGTTTTCTCTTTTTGCGTTTCCATCATTGATCTCTCCAAGTGATGCCACTGGTAGGTTGCACTTCTTTTCTTTCTTTCTGTTGTGTCTGTCTATATGTCTTAGTTTTCTGCACTAAATCACCGCTATCATTACTATGCTCTTCTTTTTACTCTTAACAAACAAAATCTTTTAGGATTGAATTGTCCATACAGTATTTTGTATCATGAACATAAACAGTATCAAAACGGTGTGAACTTATTTCATTGTTTTGTTGTTTCATTGACTCATTCATTTTTTTATCTAATTCTTTATTTCTTGTGTGCAGACAGTAGAAATTTACTCTAGAGGGGGCAGGTATATGCTTTAAATGAATGGGTCTGACTGAAATGAGGAAACCATGTTTTAGCATAATTTACCTGATCCATGAAATATCAAAGCTAAGTGCCAATGCATTAAGTTCAAATCTGGGAAAATAGGCTTTGTCAAAATGGAAGAGCTGTTGTCTAAAGTTCCGTCCTTAAAAGTTTTTAGCGAAATTGCTTTGATTCTTAAATATGGATTTTACTTGAGGAACAGCAAAGAAAGATGTCAATTACAACCAGGATCATTATTCCATTTTAGCTGGTTTGGAAAAGTCTTTTACATATTTATTTATATGTTCTCCCTTTAATGAGAATGATCAAATGTCATAGAATATCGTGGTCAGCTGTGTGAAGTATTCTTTTTTCACCAAAATCTGGATTATATACATCTCAAACGTTTGCTCTTCATTAGTTTTGTAAAGAAAAGAACTACCGGTACTTCATATTGAAATGTGGTTTTGTTAGTAATGGGACAAATGTTTCATGCACAAGGACACTTTTGTTCTTAATTTGTTAATGTTGCTTACTGTTCACACGTTTGTGTGTAAGTAAAGCAGTTTTACACTTCACAGTGTGGCAATGTGCAGTCTAGTGTGTGTGAGACAATATACTGTGTAATGTGTATGAGAATATGTACACTACTAGTGTGTGTGACAATGTGCTGTTTAGTGTATGTAGCAATGAAGTATGTATATAGTGTATTGCCTGACACCAAGAATTCTCCCATGGTCTGAAAGTAAACGGCTGCTCTTGTTTTCTCTTATTCACAGGCTGTCTTCAAGAACTATGACCATGACAAAGATGGGTTCATTTCTCATGAAGAGTTTGAATCTATAGCAGGAAATTTCCCGTTCATTGATTCCTTCTGTGTTCTGGATGCTGACAAGTAGGTTATGTTGATCATTGTAATGAATGTATCATTTAAAATTCGTTGAAAGAACTTTTGAGTTGACCAATAGTAAAAAACTGAATCTCCCCTCAATGCTCAACGACATCAGAAGATGGGAAAGTAAAGGGTGATAGTACATAAGTTGAACATTTTAATGATTTTTAATTATATAGATTCAATGAATTGTTAAAAGTGGAACGTTTTGGTTATAGAAATTGAACATACTGTTTGCCAGAGCATGGGGGATGCTCAGAATTTTGGTTTTTACTGACTGGAATTGTATCTTTCTGCCAGAACGTTGTTCCCAACAAACCTTGACATTATTCTTATTTGATCTAGTGCAAACCAAGTGACTCAGGTTAACTCTTTGTCTCCGGCAAGCTGCTCCCAGTAGCCTGCGGTCCGAACCCCTATGCCGGTGAGCCGTATTCCTTTACGGCAACTTCGACATTAAATTACTTTTCGGCAAAAACTTGTCTTTTTTACAGGGATATCATTCATCAGATGGAGAACTATCAAAACAGTTTCACTTGTTTTGATTTAATGACTCATTTAGTGACGTTGTTGTTATTTTTAGATTTAGTACCAAAAAAGGGTCCCGGGCACAGTGGGTTTACCCCCCACAGAGATAAAAGTTAATGGAACCCCAACTGTGTTTTTGGGTGGGCATTTTTGTTTTGTTTTGTTTTTTGCTTTATTGAAAGCCAACCTCATTCATACATAAATTATGGATACTTTAGACCAGGTGGGCAAATTCATTTCAACTAAATCAAGACCAGCTTGGGATGGCACCCTTTAACTCTTTAAACCCTGAGTTTTTTGCTCCATTTCCCGGAGCTTTTTCTACAGTTACCTAAACCTGGTGCCCTATGTCTCATTTTAACCCCAAAAGCTTGCCTCCAACTTCTAAGTAGAGAACAAAGGCTTTGTCATTACTAAAAAACTTGGTTTGGGAATAGTTCAGAAAAACAAGAAGAAACTAGCACTAAATGATACGCAACAGTTGTCACTAGTATTGGATGTTCCAAGCATCCGATGGGGAACAGGGTTATTAATGCTAGACGCTCCAGCGTCCGATGGGATTTAAAGAGTTAAAACTGGACACAGTGCTCTAGGTAACTTTTTGTGAAAAATGCAAATTATGAATTGAATTGCAGCATAATAGTATTAATAGAGGGATTAGAATTTTAACATTCAGCTTACAAATTTCCCTGAAAATCACACTGCAGAAAGGGCCTTCTAGTCTTGATTCTAGCATGTTGACAAATGTAATCACTTAAAAATTCATTATTTAAAAAGTTGATTTCCATTTTTTAAAGATTTGCCGAATGTTTCTGTGAGGCGTTCAAAACTCTATGAAGAGCACCCTCCTGGCCCATGGATCATAGTTTGGTGCCCACCCATGCCGTATGACTGTGATTCATTTTGAATTTACAGTGAATAATGACGTGCTTCCCTGTTTTCTCCTTTTCCTTTTAAGTTTATGGTTCGTACATGTTGGCCAAGTGAATGTTGAGTTGGCTCTTGATTCACTCTTTCACTCCCCTTTCAATCTTTTAAAAAAATGCTTTGTTAATGTCCAGGCCTCAAAATAAATGGAGAAAATATTAATAACATCAGGTATGCAGATGACACAGTTTTAATAGCATGCTCCGAAAAGGACCTTCAATTGCTTCTAGATACTGTTGTAACAGAAAGTGAACATAAAGGATTATTGTTGAATGTAAAGAAAACAGAATGCATGGTAATATCCAAAAAGCAGCAAATCCTAGTTGTAATCTCATTAGCAAAGGTGAAAAGATCAAACAATTCCAACAGTTTAAATATCTAGGATATATGATAACATCTGATGCCAAATGTTCCACAGAAATAAAAAGGAGAACTGCAATGGCTAAGGCTAGTTTCAATAAAATGTGCCCAATCCTGAAAATTAGAAACATCTCAATGAACACCAAAATGAAAGTCCTGAAATGCTATGTTTGGTCAACCCTTCTATATGGCTGTGAAACCTGGACAATCACTAAAGACAGTGAAAATAAAATAGAAGCACCTGAAATGTGGTTTCTTAGGAGACTGCTAAGAGCATCGTGGAAGGAAAAGAAATCAAATGAGGTAGTGCTTGATGAAGCCCACGTGGGACGCTCAATGTTAAAAACAATCAGGAAACGACAAATGCAGTTTTTGGGACACCTGAATAGACATAAGGGTCTTGAACATCTAGCTCTCACTGGCAAAATTGAGGGCAAGCGAGGCAGAGGTAGGCTCAGAACAACATACTTAGGGAACCTAAACAAATGGGTAACAGGGAAAGATCTGGGAAACTTAGCTTTTTTGAGAGCATCCGAGCAAAGGAATGAATGGAAAACCATGATCGCCTATGTCTGTCGCAGATCTGGCACAGGATGATGATGATGATGATTGGTAGAGTGACAAAATTTAAATGATTTCGTTTGAGATCTTTTAATATTTACTAACTTGGGTTCCTGAAGAGTGGAACTACAGGCCTACTACTCCCATTTTTTTCCTATGTCTTCAGCTGTCTTGTTTTCTGAGATTGGATTCCCATACTAAAAAGTCATGTTACAACATTTGGAATGTTTTTCCTTCCCTCTGAATTTAAACTTAGCCTTTCCTCTATGGTACTGAACAATTGCTGTGACAAATTTAACTGAAATGAATGGATTATTTGTTCAATTTATCTTAGGGATGGAATGATCAGCAAGAGGGAAATGAAAACGTATTTCATCCGAGCCAACAGCCATGCCCTGCGCAACAGCTTCAAACATGCATTCCATGAAACAACTTACTTCAAACCCACGTTTTGCATACATTGCACAGGCTTGGTGAGTAACATTTAGTCTTTCCTGACACTTACAGTTAACCTCAACACCTGCAGCAGCCATGTTTCATCAAAATTGGTATACTCTGCAGTCACCGGGAGTCACTGGGATACTGGATGGGATGCATTAAATTATTGAAAATTGTACTTCTTACTGATTTTATAAAAAGTGGTGTCTAATTTTTCAGACTTATGCCCTTTTTATTAAGGATGTAGGGCTACTCTTGTAACAGATCAGTTGGGTTTAAGAGGTTCATTAACATCACATCATTTGACAAAGGTACAGTTAAGCAGTAATGTCTGTACACTTGTTGTTGATGTGTGATTCTCTGGATGGCAATGATTCATAATTCTTTTTCAGTTTTATTCAGTTTATCAGGCACAGGTTCAATTTATTATAGGAAGGAGGGACAATCCCTAATCTCTTTAGTTTTCTTGTTCTCTTGTTTGCTTTAATTAAGAGTTTGTGCTGCTGGAAGTGTATTATCTGTCATTGTTATTACTATTAAAACATTTTAAAAACAACTTTTTTCTCGTGTAAAAATAATTTGAAATACTTAAGCTGAATGTAAGTCAGATTGTTTCTTTTTCAAGCATTGTGTTTATTCTTTTAAAAATCTGGAGAAAAAAATATTCAAGAATACCTTAGAGTAGAATATATGTAAAGAAGTTTTTTAAATCCCTTAAAATAAGGAAGATTACACTTTCAAACAGCACTTTGATGGATGTTTCTACTTGTTGCTAGTGTTGCATTTTTTTTATCTCTGATTTTTTCCTTCCCACACAGCTATGGGGTATCATCATCTCTGATTTTTTCCTTCCCACACAGCTATGGGGCATCATTATCTCTGATTTTTTCCTTCCCACACAGCTATGGGGCATCATTATCTCTGATTTTTTCCTTCCCACACAGCTATGGGGTATCATTATCTCTGATTTTTTCCTTCCCACACAGCTATGGGGTATCATCATCTCTGATTTTTTCCTTCCCACACAGCTATGGGGTATCATTATCTCTGATTTTTTCCTTCCCACACAGCTATGGGGCATCATTATCTCTGATTTTTTCCTTCCCACACAGCTATGGGGTATCATTATCTCTGATTTTTTCCTTCCCACACAGCTATGGGGTATCATCAAGCAAGGCTGGAAGTGTAAAGGTAGGGTGTACTATTTTACTGTGTTACAAATTTGATTTGTCTGGTGCAATTTAATGTGTTTTGTACTACATGTTGTTTTTTTCCCTTCTCAATTAACCCAAATTGTGTGATAAAATGGGACTATTGATTCCAGTTTTTGTTGAACTCTTTTTATCGGGTCTCTAGTTTTGATCCTCTGATAATCGGTCATTCTCAAGAAACTCTTTCATGTGGTGAAAAATTATATTGATCAAAAATGATTTTAGTTTTGTTTTGTATTGTAACAAGGAGAAGCTTATTGATACAATAAAGGTCATGTAGTGCAGGAAAACGTAAAACAGACAGTTAGGAACAACAGAGGGAAAGAAAAGACATAAGACCTATCAGTTGTGCCCTCCGGCCACTTATGAACTTGTACTTATTGGGACCTTTATTGACAACACTGTAAATACAGTTGTAGCTACAACCATGATGGTTTCATGGTCTGTGAATACTGTCTTGTGTTGATTAGAATGAAGGAGTGTTGTGTAATTTGAGGAAAGATGCAGAAGAAATTTTTTCTGTTTTGAGAGTCAAAAATGTGAATGCCAGGCTGTGTGTGAGTGGATTCATGTGTATGGAGTATTTAATTTGTATGATTACATCCCCTGTGAAGTTGTGTTTATGTTATGTGTTACCCTTTACTTACTCTTTAAAAAGAAAATTCCTTAGAAATGACATTGATTTGTATTGCTTGGAGAAAACCTGTGATCTTATGTTAGTCTTGGTCTGTTTCAGACTGTGGCATCAATGCTCACAAACACTGCAAAGATCTGGTGGTGATGGAGTGTCGCAGCAAAGGCAGTAAACGCACAGAGTCAATGTCAAATGGTATCCTCACTTTACTGGCTTTAGCTGGTAGTATAACTCATGATGGAAAAGTGTCAGTAAATACTTTTTACTGGCGTCTGTAGTTTAATGATTAGGCTCCACACTATATGCAAATGAAGTGATTTTGATTCCGTTATACGGAAATTTTTATAGAGAAGGCCTATCTACATCTTTTTACTGGGATATTATGTCTCTCTCAGCCTTGGTTACCCTTGCAGGTAGGGTCAAAACATTCTCATTGATTTGAATTATGTCTAAAGGAGCATAAAATAAAACAGAACTACATATACTGAGCTTATTCTTATAATGCAATAATGAATTAATTTGAATTCTTTTACTGATTATTATGAGAAAAGTTCAGGAAAATTTTTGTCTGAAATCAACAAAAATAATAATTTTTAAAATTGTCACTATGATACTTTTGTTCTTAAACTTTTTGTGTAATTTTGTCATAATAATTTCATAATTCATAAAAAGTCTCATCTGTAAATTTTTATATGATCTTATTCTTTCGTCATTAAACTTGTAGCTTTCTACTCATGTCCTTTTCTTTCCCTTTGATGTTTACTTCAACACGCTTTAAAAATTTTTCTTTTGCCAAGTTTCTCTTTTAAACTGTTTTGTTGTACAAGTTTTTAAAAACTTTTCAGTATTCACAGCATGCAGATCATTCTTTCATTATGACACAAAATGATCTAAATTAGTGTACTTGAACCCAGGTGTGGGGCCTCATGACCTGACGATAACGGCCAAACGCAAGATCTCCCAGCGGCACCAGAAACGCTCATCCCCCTCGCACACATGCCAGCAATCGACACAGACAGAGGGCGTGGTCATGCGCCGAACTAGCAGCCTGCGTGTCATGAACAGCAGCGCAGGCACGCAGCACAACCACCGCGACGTGGCTATCATCGACGGAGAGTACTATGAGGAACAAGCTCTGCTCTATGAGAGATTGCTCAAGGCAGAGGAGGTACGTTTATTCTGACTGGCTTATCCCGAAGAAAGCCCTCATCTGATCAGTCATTCCTTAGTTTTCGTTGTTTGTACTTAAAGCTTCACAATCCTGCAGGTCTCAGCGCAAAGGTTTCGGGTGGTACTGGGTGCTCCTGGTAGATCCTATTTCTTTTCTTTCCATCTGTTGTTTCTGTCTATCGGTCTTGCTTTTTCCCTGTACTAAATCACCGTTGTTGTGTTGATGTGCTTTTGTTTACTCAAACAAACAATGCATATAGGACAAAGTATGGGGTTTTAAGAAGATTAGATTTCGTATGCTAAAGTAGTATTACATACTGACAAGAAATGATATGACAGAAAAATGCAGGCAATTCAGAGGCCTACTTTTTATATTTTCCGTGGGTTGACTAAGGTTTTTTACATGTTCATATCTTTGGGACCTACACATGAGACAAGTATGGTAAAAGGGTAGGAATGTAACCTTTATCTAATTTATCATTCTGAGGTTGATATTATTGTATCCATAGTTTGTCATATAGAGATTAATTGTTGCTATCATTTAGACTTCATTCTTGATGGTAGATGCTAAGTAATGAAAAACAGAAAAGGGTGTGATGTTGGGTTGTTGTTTTTTTTTGGGGGGGAGGAATTGTGGCGGTCTGTGTTATTAGGACCAGTGTAAGTCATTTGAGTAAATTTCCAAGTGTTCCGATTAAGAAGAAGCTCTTAAGTTTCTGTTTCTGTGTGTGTGTGTGAACTGTGATTGTAGAGGCACATCTGTAAGTGTGCTTCCATGTATGTGTTTTTATGTAGCTTGTGTGTTTGTTGAGTACAAAAGAAGTTGAACAATGAGAGAGGCCATGGTCAAAGGGAAAAGAAGGAGGATTCATTCAGTTTTGTGTCTCTGTTCCCCCCTCCCCCCAAAAAACAGCACCCCACCCCCATTTAAAAAAAAAAGAAATTAAAAGAATTATCCACTAAAAAGAAGAATTTTGTAAAATAATATTTTTCCTGTTGTAGTTAAGTTTTACATCTCAGCTAAAATCATTTGCCTGTTAACTTTGGGCCTGCAAGATGGGGCAGTGTAAACAGATAAAGTGTTGAAAGGAGAGTGCTTGAGAATCGTCTCTCATATGTTTGCCTTTTTATGTAGTATTGGAATTCAATTGGTTAAGTTGTCGAACTTGCGTCTCTAAGGTCGTTGGTTTAAATCCTGGTCTGGGCCTGACATGGTCCATGGAAAAGACAAATTTTCCTCATTTCTCCCAGGTGTGAATGAGTACCTGGCTAAGACAGTGAAAGATCTTCAGGTGTTAATGTTTTAAGCATCTGTGGAATGCCAGCCTACATTGAATATTACTGAGGAATCTAAGAATGCTTTGGAATGTTGTAGGTCAGTCAAGTTAAAAATACTATATTGTAAAACTCATTGAGCCTACAAAAGGGACATACATTATATAAATGCAGCCTATTATTGTTATGTACCATTGTTTTGTCACAGACAGACCTTATTTTCTTCTTATTTGCTTTAAGACGTACTTTATGTTGAGTGACCCTTGAAGGTTTTGTAAACTAGAAGCAACTAGTGTTCCTAGCATTCACCAACATCCTTTAAGATACAGGTTGAAAAAGTTATTCAGTTTTTAAAATCCATATTCTGCAAAACTCTCAAAAAAAGTTTATTTTTCTCTTAAATACATGTATTACATATATATATATCAGTCCAAAAGACATCTCTTATTAAAGATGTTTTCCTGTGCTCAGAAAGCGAGTGTAAAATGTATCGTTTCTCGTTGATCATACTTCAAACTGTTGCTTATGTTGTGAATGTGTAGTGTCCACATTTTTGTTTCCAGCCTGTATTTTTGACAAAGCTATCTCATTGTCTGACAATTTTTATCTTTGAAGGAGATCTCTCAGAGTCTGAATACTCTTTCCTGTGAAAGCTTTCTCATTCGTAGAATGAGTTGAAAAACTTGTTTTCTAATTTTGGGTGGTTGATTGCAACTAATGATGATGTTTGCGATATGAATAAAAATGGATCCATTATTTGTAGCTCAGTGGAAAAAGCTGCTTCAGCTTCCCTGTAAGATAAATTGCCCTTGGTGCTGCTTCAGTTTGTCAAAGATCTAAGATAGTTTCCTATTTCCTAAAACTCTAACTACAGCCTCTTGAAGTTGGTCTTTGATATGTTTATTTGAATATTCGGATTTCTCAAAATGTCTATTCTTTCGTTGGCCATGACTTTTAATGAAATTAATCGTATCTTTTATTAGTCTCTCCATGTTTGTTTAAAAAAGAAACAAATCTATTTTGCGTGATACAGTAGTTTTTCTATCTGCGTTTGTCTCTGAGTATCATGGTAGAATGTTTTGTGTGAGTTTCTATGCTTACTTACGTTGGGAGGACAAATTTTTTTCTTTCTTTAATATTCATTCTAACCAGATACTCTCAGCTTCCCTTTCTTGAGAATGGCCCAGGCGTTAAGTTTATAGCTGGCGGAACCAAACTTGCGAGTTTTGGTTCAAATCAGGGCTGAACGGGCAAAGCATTTTCCATCTTAGACAGGTGAAACCCTCGGAAGGGAGCGCTTTTTCTTTCCGTTTCCGCGTTGGACAGGTTTCTGTTTTATACAGGTAATTAAAGAGAAATATATCAAGGAGGGGGGGGGGGGAGCAGGGAAATTCCGTTAAGACAGGTTTCCGTTTAATACAGGTTTCCGTTAAGGCAGGTTCGACTGTATACTCTCTCTTGTTTTGTTTTTTTCTATATTCCCGAATTGCTGTACATCCTTTATGTAGCATACATGTGTACATGTTTTGGCTCAGACCTGAAAGCTTCCTCTCAATATGTATAAACTGTTGAAGCTGCAAGATACCCAACGTCAATCACAAAAATGGTTATATGAAAGCCTCAACTCAAGAAATTTACACTGAACGTTTTGGACAAAATCCTTCACCTTGTGATGGCTTTCTTTTCTGGATATTTTTCTTCTTGCCAAATAGTGTGTTGACATACTGTAATGTGTGATAATCTATTGTAATGTGTGTTTATGTATTATAATTTCTTTTGTAATAGTCATTCAGTTTGTGTGTGTAGTGTGAGTGTGTGTATGTGTGTTGAAGAAGGGTCTTTGCTCAAAACTTCTGATGCAAATTTCTTATATTCTGATTTCTTTTACTACCTTTTTTTTGTGATTTCCTAAATACAGCTCCATTTACCCTTGTTTTCATGACATCTTGATAATTCCTTTAGTAGGCCTACAATACGTATAAAGGAACAATATCAAGCGGAAAGCAAAAATGGTATTTGGAACGTAAAAATCCTTTCCCTTTATCAGGAGAAAAGAGAAATTTGACTCTTTCTTACCTGTTGATATATTAATATTTTTCTTTTTAGCCACCAGTGTCAAACATAACACACAGTAGTTATTTTATGTAGGGTCATAGTTCTCCGTTCTGTTCTTTCATTTAGCATTTGTTCTGCCTTCGTTCGGTTATGGTTATTGGTTTTTGTTCTGTTTTCTTTATTTTGTGACATCGAAAGGTGCCATATACTCGTATATTACTATCTGGTCTTACTGTTTTCTACATCAGCATCTACTAAAGATTTGTGTGATGCATTGTATGGTTTTCCTGTATTTTTTAATGTTCTTTTGAGAGCCTATGTTTTTTATAATTTTTTTTTTTTAATGTGTGTAGGTGAATTGAATGCTCCACTGGATACGTGTAGATTTTTCCAAAAAGGAGACCCTCAGTTATTATAATATTGTAGCCATTCGCTTAGTGTGTTTAAAAAAAAGTGTGTTCTCACTGCACCTGGTGTCTCTAGCTTTGTATACTAGATTTCTGTTGTCGTCGTTACTGTTACTGTAGTGGGTGGTTAGTGGGCGCTCCTTTGTGGTCTGTTTCTTCCTTTTCTTTTCTTTGTGTTGTTGTAGTTGCACAGCGCTGTTCCTGACAAAATTTGGCTTTTGTCAAGTTGGTAAACTGTATGTTACAACTTAAAATGAACAACCGCATCCAACAACCACCATCAACAGCAACAACAACAGCAACAACAACAGCAACAACAACAGCAACAACAACAGCAACAACAACAGCAACAACAACACAACAGCAACAACCACCAGTGTTACTGTAATGCTGTAGTTGTCGTGGAGCTTTACTTCCTGAAGATAAAGTGTGTGTTTTTGTTTTTTGGTCCTTTTTGTTGTAGTTTGTTTCCAGCTGATTGTCTCTGCTGGAATGTGTGGCGTTGTTTCTGTTGTTCTAGCTGTGTTCTGTCTGTATTTATAAACGTGTCCTCAGCAGGCAGTGTTGAGTTTTCTTAAGGCGTGTGACTTTTCTTCTTTGTTCTTGCCCATTAGCCAGTGACTCACGCTGAGGGAATACAGTAAGTGGCTTTTACTCTGTTTGCTGTTCCAATTCTATCTGCAGAGTTTGATCGTTTCTTTGTGACATTTTCTTTGACAATTATGTATGTATTATAGCATAGTGCATTTGCGAACACAGCACAATTCTACATGACACGTCATATATATTATATATATCAATGTATTATATGATTGAGCCCTCTCATTTTTTCCCATCAGTGTTCTCGCTGTTTCTCCTTTGTTCGTTCTTTTACTTTTCAGTTCTATTGTGTCTAATTTCTTTTGGGTTGTTTTCTTTTGTTTTTTCTTCAAAATTATTTCTCTTGCTGTAGTTTAAAGAAAAAAGAATAAAAAAAGAAGACTTTTAAAGATTGCAAAAAGATGTCCATTGCTTTTAAATGTTTACTAACAGCAAAAAGGGTATTAGAGAGGTACTGTGCACTGGTGTGTCCCAATTTTGGACCCCCTTCCTCTGAACCTCTGCATTCCTCCCCCATTTTTCAATTCATCCTTGAAATATTTTGATCCTTACCCTATGAGCATTTGGAGAACCTCACGGTCTGGCATCTCTCTTTCTTTCTTTCTCTCTCTCTCTCTCTCTCTCTCTCTCTCTCTCTCTCTCTCTCTCTCTCTTTCTCTCT